GTAGTAGAAACTCTATAGAGGAACGAGCACAACATGAGCCTTCTGTCTTTAAGTATCACTTGGATGCCTTTGTGTCATAAACCTACCAGTGTCCCTTTTCAGTGCATGTGTGGTGATTCACTGAAGCAAATACATTTGTATAGGGTATGGGAGTTGACCTCTAAGTCATGGAGGTGGAGTAGTTGGAGTGTCCTAGACTAGCTCTTCCCTTAGTTAATGCTTTTACCACTTTAGCGCCCCCTTTGGAGTGATGGGACAGTGAATCAGGGCATGACTCAGGGTTTAAATTCAGCATGTTGGGAGTTCCCCCAAATTTGACCGATAATGCAGTAACCTCCTCTAATTCCACTATCTTATAGAATACATTTCAGACGAGATTACAACGAACGGTAATTGATAAAAATTAATGCAAGGGATGTAAGAGGGATTAAATATTTAAAGAATATAACTACAATGAAAGTTTACTTTTACTGATTGTTGCAATAAAAAAAGAAAAGCACAATAACCTGGGCTGCTAATGTGACTGTTAAATTAAACATTGCAGTCATAATGGCAAATAAAATTTTAACACATGTATTGGTCACAGTTTGGGAGAAGTTAACACTTCATTTATAATGAATACACATAATACAGAAAGGGTTTGTGATATATATATATATATATATATATATATATTTATATATATAGATATATATATAAAGCATATTACATACTTATAAATCTCATTTTCCCCTTGTGGGATGCAATTTTTAATTATTTTGAAACCCTTCCCTGGCTTCTGCCGGTGGCCCTAAATATAGCCATGCCTGAAATATGGCCTAAGGGCTGTACGGGGTTTCTGGAACTTCTCCACTGGTGATCCTCATCCACATGGTGGCACTTTGTGTCACTGGGTGATTATCGCTTGGTGTGATGTCCTGGTAGGGTAAAATGTCAGTCAGTCAGTCAATTATCAAAATTCATAGTATGAATGTAATTACATGAAATGTAGTCTTTTATTTGACTGACTTAGCTTGATGTACCTGTTCCCATGTGTGTTAAACAAATATCGCAGGTTATTCATACTAAAGATTGGTATATATTGTTAAGAACATGTCACTATACCATATACCTGACCTTGTCACTACCCTTGTTTGTATTCTTGGATGTCAATGTTGTGGTTTTCCCTTACCTTCCATATCCTTCTAATGCTATAAACATTACTTGTAGGTAGTTGTACTAATGCATGGAATTCTGCCAGAAAACAGCCTAGTACTGTTTAAAGAAAGATAACCAACTCGAGAGTCTGCAAACACAGTTAATTCCTTTTATTAAGCTCAACCTCAGTTTATTTTGTAACTGTTATCCAAACATAATCTCATTATCAAATGACAGGGAGACTAACATTGGTCGTAATATGCCTTCCCAAATGACCTTTCTATATTTTTTATTCTGCCCCTTATCCCAGATGAAACATAGACCCTTAAACAGCTCCTACCCAGTTCTCCTGTACTTTATGATTACATACACCCCTTGTCTCCGTCATATTTTCATCTCATTCTTTTATTCTCTTGCCTGTATCACTTGTGTCCATTCCTTACCACTCTACATCATAAAAGAAACAAGAGTAAAATACTCTTCTAATGTTGGAAACTAGATAGAATCCTCTGTTTGTCTATTGATAGGTGCATAAGTTGCTCATTTTTACTGAAATTTTGTTTAGCGTACCTCAGTATCAGTTGATTGTTTACAGTTTCTTGCATGTGAAGGCACAGTTCTAAGGTAACACAGAAAGAGCGTTTCCCAGTTTGGTTCACTTCTGTTGTCATTTTTTGGGGAAATTGTTCCCCCCAGTAATTTCTGTGTTGACATTATCATTGTTACCTGTTTATTTACCCCACATTTACATACTGTATTCATTACATATATGTGATATTTATATCACATAGGAGAAAACCTGATAACAATGTAGCTAGAATGTCCTTAGACTGGAACTCACTGGATCAGTGAATAAAGGCTGACCAAAAATACACAGAGACAGAAATAAAATAGTGAAGATAAAAAGACAGGGAGGAGAGGACATAGGGTGAGGTACATGTGATGACAAAGATATGATGGCTCAGGGGTAGTTAGGTGGGCTAGTCGAAGAAGAGGAGGGCAAAGAAGAAACTGGAATGACAACATCAAGAAATGGACAGGACTGTTATCATACACACTCCAACAAGGGAAAGACGGAGAAAGATGGCAGGTTACCCCTCCATGACCCTAATGAGTCAAGGGTTATGTTATATAATAGGTCCATAAAAATATTTGTCTACCACTATATTCCTGATGTGCTAAAGGCATGAAAAAGATCTTTTACTTTGTATAATTTTTCTGTGAGATGACATAATCTCATACCATCCTTCCTTAGTCACCTCTTAAGACATGGTAGATATTATTGTTCTTTGCATCCTTCATAAACATCATAATTCTTGAATGCATTAATCAGTCAGAGATTGACCTTGCTGCAGTGTGGAATTCCCACATGTGCTATGTCTCTTTCCACAGTATCTAGTGAAAAGTTCTCATACTAATAGTGCCAGCTACAACCTGATACATTTGTTTCCTGTCCTTTTCCCTGAGCATTGAATACTGTCCAAACCTTCTCTCTTCTCACTCCCATCTGAATGATGTCAGAGGGAAAGAATTTTCAATGGGATATAACTCTAGCGAAAGTTTACTTTTACTGATTGTCGCAAAAATTGTCGCTCCAGGCTATCAGCCTACTTATTACTCTGCACATCTAAATGTCTTAACTAGCAATGCAAGCCACTCTTCAAGTAGGTTACCAAGTCTCTCTCTTTCTCTATCTAATCCAGTCATCTCCTTGTGAGATGCAATTTTTCGTTGTTTGAAGCCCCACCCTGGCTTTTGCCAGGGGCTGCAATATAGCCCGACCATAAATATGGTCTAATGCCTCAACGCCATTTCTGGGACCTCTCCACGGTGATTCTCATACACATGGTGGCACTTTTGGTCATCAGGTGTTTATCGCTTGTGTGATGTCCTGGTGGGGTAAAAATCTACTACTACTCTCTTTCTCTCTCTGTGTCTTGCTCTCTCTCAGAGTATACTATTGGGTTTTAGTAACAAATAAGCAGGATTAAAGTAACACCATCTAAAACATGTACATAACAAATTGGAAAATGGAACACCCTTAAAGAAAGGAACACCCTCTTAAAAGTGCATTTTTGAAAAAGCACAAATAAAATGCTTACTTCTTCCTACATTTGGCTAAAGTAGCTAGAGGATGATTAGAAATAGAATTCACATGCACACCTTTGATTTTCCTGTATTTTTGTATTGATAAAGTTCCTTATTCAAGTTATTGTTGTTTGATGTTCTTTTTTTTTTCATAGTTCAAAATTTTAGTCTGCATTTTTTTGTTTGCATTAGTTTTAGTTTTTTTTTATATTGTTTAAAACATTTCAAATTCTGTGATGAAATGTGTTAACAAATGAAGTAATTGTCATTATCTACAAATGTTGTTTTAAACAATTTTTTTATGTGAATTATTTTGAGTTAAGCTTTCATGTATTTATAATCTCAAGCAGTTGTCATTTTATATGGGAATTGGTTCACCAGATGTCATTTCCTAAATGCATGTTTTAAACACACATTTTTTTTTTTTTTAAACAGATGTTTTTCCTTTTGAAATTAATTTAATAAAGAATCAAGTATAGTGGTGAGTAAGTAAAATATGATTTTGTGCCTTTGGCTGATTGGGCATATAGTGCTAGACCTATAGTTGTATAGACCTGTCAACACTCAGGGGGTGATGTGGTCAACATCACGCTGGTCCCTTCTGCTTTCTCAGGACATTACCAGGTATCCATTTGAGGCTGGGTAGTAGTAGTTGTTGCTGTCTTTGAGAGGTTTGATGTAGAGCCATTCAAAGTATATTTTTTTTTTTTTTTTTTGCTGTTTGGTTTTGCTAGATAATTTTGTGACAGTAGTTTACCATCCAACTGAATGGTCAGCTCTTGATACCATTGTCAAAATCAGTGCAAAGCATTCTGCTGCTGGCTGGCTAGTATCAAGTATATAATATACAGATTACATGAATTGCTCATGAATTGACAGTTCCTAGCATCCAGTAGTTATTAGTTTCTTGAATTATTTAATTCAAGTGCAATTTCACTGATTAATTACTGTTTTGAGTCATCTGTTAAATAAAGTATTTTACTCAAGTGGGTTTTTTCCCGTGACGAATTACTTCCAGGTCGTGTATTTATAGGAAAAATACTTTAAAAATAATTTCCTGTATGAAAAACTGTACAGTTATTGTTTTCTGCACATTAATTGCTTTAATGAATTTCACTTATTGTTTTCTTAATATGAAATGCTTTAACAAATTAGCTTTTAAGTAATTGTCATTTCCTGGGCAGATCTAATAAGAACTTTGGCCAGCTCTATTCTCCCAAGATCAGATATAGACCCTTACAACAGCTTTTGAGCATAAAATCTTACCAGAGACGAAGAGTTGCCAGAGCACTAAGACAAGGGGAAAATATCACCCAGGAAGCACATTCTCAGTTGTGTGTGTGTGTGCGTGCATGCGTGCGTGCATGCGTGCGTGCACACGCGCGCATGCAAGCGGTCAGGAAAAACTAGTTGTGGACTTATATGCCTGGTATAAAATACATTAGGTAGGCATAGGCCTAACTGAGAATTTTGAGAGAAACATCTTGACATTGATTTGTACACCAGGTCGACTTGGACACCACAGTTAACGTTGTGTGGTGCGTGCATGCATGTGTGCATATGTTTTCTGTGTGTGTGTGTATGTATATATATACACACACACACACACACACACACACACACACACACACACACACACACAGAAAACATTCTGCAAAATATCTCTAACTTGTGACACTTTGTCTTCCCTCACACAAACACATACTTTATGCTACATTAAAAGTACTAAATGGAAAATATTTATAACTTCTGGCATTTTGTCCTCCCTCCCACAGAAAGCAAAAGAAACACAGCTCCAAACGAAACGGAAGCAAACCCCAGCTGGGGGGCGTAGAGGAAGAGAAGGAAGACTCCCACAGCACTACAAGCAACTCTGTTCCTGCTGTGCCCAAGAAAAAGGTCCCAGTCAAATTCTACATAGAGGACCATGATGACCATGAGGAGAAGGAGAACCTCATCCGACCACCAGAGATTGTCGTGGACCCCCCGAGTGAGGTCCACAGTAGGACCCCGGACAGGGAAGAGGGTGATGAACCGCGATGTTGATTTCATCTTTGATATGGTAGTAAAGGGAGTTATGTCGGGGGAAAAAAGAGTGGCTGTGGTTGAGTGGATATCAAGAAGCAGTTCAATATAACACTAACTCTGTCTAGAAAGCACAAGTAAGGGAAAGGAAAATAATCACTGATAAAAGTCATTGTTAAAGACTTTGGTCAAAGTTTTTGAAAAAGATTTTGATCAGACTGTTTTTTTTTTATTTAATTACTGATAAAGAGTTAGGTCAGGAGCAGCTAGTTACTTATGTGCCAGTCCAAAAGTCTTGGGTTTTATCCACCTAAGACAGACTATTATTTTCCCTAATTCTCCTAGGTCAACCTAGCCAAAAATGGTACCAGGAAATGTACTGTAAAGTAAAGACCACTAGCATAATGTTAACCATATTAGCCATTGAGTTCTGACTGTTCTCTAGAAATATGGGTCTAGCACAATATATCTAATGTTCTAATGGCTTAAAAAGGATCCTTTACCTGACCTTTAAGGACTTAGGTCAAAATACAAAGTAGACTGCTTAAGGTGATCTCGGATGTGTCATATTTCTTTTGTGAAGAACAATTTGTTTATCCCCAGTGGTTATCATATGCTTGAACTCTTATCTTGAAAAGAGGAATTTCTAATAAGAAGAACTATTGTTTGGGTTCATTATTAAGTTCTCCTCATCAGCTCTGCATTGTGTTAGGTGGTATATGTACGCATCTTTTCCTTTTCCCTCTGTTGAGCTTCTAGCCATAGTCCGTGTTGTATTTAGCCACTTTTAAAGCAGGAAGTACCAGACAGGACTGAGCATGTACTGTTTAGTTGTCACTATTTCGGGGGGAAGGGGGGGCGGGGGGATTTATTCCCACTGTTGGTGTCTGGTCATGGTTGTATAAATTAAGATGACTATATTTGTGCCAAAATGAAGGAAAACAATATAAGGTGCTTTATCACCCCATGCTGGAAGAGGGCATATTTATTCCAGAGACTGCTAGGCAGGGCTGTGTTTGGGATGTGTGATGCCCCTGTACGGTCATTTCTTTTTCAATTTATCTTCCTTCAGCTAAACTTCACCATTGCTGTTGCCATACTATTTTTTAGGCTAAACCATAAATCAACTACATTGTGACAGTGGAGGTGATGGCAGTGACACAGGTGTTTCATGTGGCTAGAATCGCAGTGCTGTTCCCAAATGTGTATGTTGAGTGATTCTTTGATACGATCTGGTGGGTCAATGCTGGCTGTATATGCAGACAGTGGACTGGGTCATTTGCAAAACTCCACTGTTCATGGAGTTACCTTTGTCTTCATCCCATAGTATGTGGGTGTTGTTGGCTATGGAAAAGCTGATAAACCGACTGGTTCTGACTTAGTTGCAGATGGCCGGCTGTGGATGGCACCAACATTATTAAGGCCCTTAGAGCGATAAGGTAATCAGAGGATTTTGGAAGCAGACGTTCACATTACTGATAAAAATGCAAGATTTAAGAGTAAAGATCTGCACACACATATAAAAAAAAAGTAAAGATCCCTTTTCACGCCTTTTGGCGCATCGGGCATATGGGCAGAGCGTCCCATATTTTTACAGACCATCAGCACTCTGTGGGTAATGTGGTCATTATTACGACGGCTGTCTTTAATTTGCCGGGACAGCCCATCCTGGTACCCATTTTAGGCTGGGTCGACCTGCGACGTCCCATACCACGACAAAAATCCGCGCAGCCTGCAGTGGGTTTCGATCGCGGTGTGCTGGCTTACGAGTCGGACTCGCAACGCCTTAGCCACGGACGCCGCGCACACACATATACCCCTCCATTATTGTTCTCTCTAAACTTTCATGACATTTCATGTGACCAAAATATTTCAGTTTTCTGTATTTTATCATCTTTAATAGCCAGCCTTCTTTAATAGTCGGTTCTTCAAGTATGGATGAATTTAATCTTTGTTTTTTTTTTTAAGGCTGAAACGTTAGTCCACTTTAAGGTGACAATGGCAGTGACACAGGCGTTTCATGTGGCTGGAACCAGTACTGCACATATTGCACATGCCTTAACTCTTTGAGTACCAGGGGGCTTACCCAAGGGGTAGTCAAAAGAGACGTCAAATCGGCACATCTTGCGTTCATTGTGCTTCTAGTTAAGAACCTATGCACGTATGATACGTTCCTTGGGATATTAAAGAGTTACTATGGCCCTGCTGGTTGTATATTTCTGTTAAAACCAGGAATGATTGACAGTACCTAAGACATGCTGTGGACATGTCAGGCTTCATTTTTAGGAAATTTTTAGAAGTGTTTTATAGAATTACTTTCTTTCTATAGGTGTTCTGTTAAAAAGACTTTTTTTTTTCAAAGTGTTTTATGGGAAGACTTGTTAGAAAAATTTTCCTGGGGAATTTTGTGTAGAATGTACATTGTTTGTTTGAGGTATTTTACAGAAGGAATATCTGGTAGAGGTGTTTTATAAAAGGATTTTATTTGAGGTGTTTTATAAGAAGACTTGAAAAGGACTTTTTCTACAAGGGTGTGTCTTAGAGCAGGACAGTCTTTGTTTGAGGTGTTTTGTTTGAAGACTTTTGAGAACTTTTTCTGCAGAGGTGTTTTAGAGCAGGACAATCTTTGTTTGATGTTTTAAGACTTTTAAGACAAACTTTCTCTAAAGATTTTTTAGAGCAGGACAGTCTTTAATGTGTTTATAGGAATATTTTTAAGACAAACTGTTTTCTACACAGGTGTTTTAGAGCAGGACAGTCTTTGTTTGAGGAGTTTTATAGGACTTTTTCAGCAGAATTTTTTTCTTTTTTAAAGGACATTCTGTTTGAGGCGTTTTATTTTAAAGAATGGACAAATATCTGACACATCATCCAGATTCACAGTGCCTGCATATTTATAATGGATGGGCTTAAGAAATTCAAAAGTGTATTCCGCCTTGCAAATTTAAATAATGCAATAATGAACAATACATTGAACAATTCACTGCCTGGCATATTTTGGTGTATCTTATCAGGTGCATCAATAAAAAGTGTATATCAGCAAATAATGAATCACACAATAGGGAATAATGTCCACTCACACATACAAACCAGAATGGCTGTAGTTGCACTGTACATATCACTGCCAGAAATGTATCATTTCTACATAATTTAAAATATAGTTGAGCACATGTCCTTAGTATTCTGTATACCTGAGATGGAAACAATCCCATGAGTTTTTTGATAATTACCAAGACAGTCCTCTGACATCTGGGGTGTGTAGGTATCCTTCAGCATTGACTGAACACTCTTTGGTATTGCCATTACATGAGTAGAGTTCTGCCCTTAGTCATAATGAAGTTAACCCAATGTTGTCAATGTTTCTGAGAATATCATATCCTTATCATAGATGGCATGATTTCTTCTGCATAAATACCAACTGTGAAACTTTTTATTTATATTTTAAGTGTGTCTGTGTGTGTGTGTGTGTGTGTGTGTGTGTGAGTGAGAAGTATAGAAAGATAGAAAAAGGAAGAGACATTAAAAGATAGACAGAAAAGGATCTATATATATATATATATATATATATATATATATATAGAGAGAGAGAGAGAGAGAGCGAAAAGGGGGGGGGGGGTGAGAATGTAGTGACAGTAATGATTTGCATTTCCTCTGTATTTTGCTAACATTTAATTGAGGCTGAATCAGCTGCAATGTTCCTATAGATACTTTTCAGTTTTGTTATAGACACAGCTAGACATTAAGTGTTGCTAATGACAATTTTATATTTCACATAGTTTTCATGTTTAACTTACATCAATTTATGTTTCACATTCTTTGTTTCCTAGATTATCTTACATCAGTTTTCTGTCAATGCTGTTTTCATGATTATCTTACTTCATTTGTGTTTTGCATATTGTTTTCATGGTTAACTCACATCAGTTGAATTTCACATGCTATTGTTTTGGTGATGATTTACTTGTATGTTTATATTCCATTGTGGGTGTCTTTTAGAATGTAATTTTTATTTTCTCAGCCAATATCCCAGAGTGTTATTTGAGAAACCCATGTTTCATTTAGTAATGTACAAATAGTGCTGTGTGATTTAGACATGTAACCAAATGATGTCATTTTAAAATTGCAGTTATTATAATTTAAAAAAAGGAAACGCTAAAGAATAGTGTTTGTTGGAGAAGGAGAAACAAACATTTAAAAGCAGTATAATGTGAGTAAAATAAGGTAATAGCGCAAAGTGACTGAATTTCAGTTACGGTGGCTGCCTTATTGAACTGATTTTGAGATATTTCAGTAATTCATGTAATTGATCATACTTTGATAATTTATTAAACTCAAGATATTTGTGTTCTGTGTAATTTCAATAATTTATGTAATAATTGATGTTTCAGTAAACTGTATAAACCACTATTGTTTCAGTGAACTCTGTAAAACACAAATGTTTCAGCAAACTGTAAAATACAGTTTCACACTCTTGTTGGATTGACATCTGAAAAGTGGCTCCTTAAGTCACTAGGTGTCTTTCAGGCACTAGTCCTGTCAGGACAGTCTTATGCTTCCAAGTGTTCACTACCTGTAAATTCCAGCAGAATGTTCTGGCTGTTCATCTATTTCTGGACTTTGGCTTTGTTCCAGAATTAGTTCTGAATGCACATCCTTTTTAAATATCTGGCTTCTTTGTATGCATACTATTGATTCCTAGCCTCTCAGGCATATGCACTTCTCCAACTTCATAGGAAACACCCCTCTATTAGTTGCTGTTTACAACAGGATTGTTACAGCGGCAGTGGATCCAATCCCCACCCCCCCCCCCCCCCCCCACCCCAACCAAATGGGGATGAGGAATGCACACAGGGAAAAAATACTTAAATGAAGACCATGGAAAAAAATGGTCAAAAAAGGGTAGAGGTTAACAACTGCATTACCATGGTATATTGGAGATATGGTCAGTTTTCAAATGTATATAGAGCCAATCCTAATGGGGAAAATAGTCACTTGTTCATTGTAGTATATTGAGCCAATCCTAG